AGAAGATACTACGCGACATTGCAGACGGAGATGCTAATTTTTTTGTCGTCCCCCCCGTCCGTCCCCCCCGTTAGGTTTAGAACCAAGGAAAACGAAGTCACGCGTCAGAGTCTACTGCCCTCATGCGATGAAAAGCGAGCGAGAGCGTTGAGACTCTGAGCATGGTTGATGCCACTCAAAAGCCGTCCATCTGGGAGCTGTGGAGATGCCGCTGTCCGTGAGATAAGTGTCTGGTTTGGTGAGGGCTAAGTTGGGGCTGGGTTTGTATGAAAAGGTTCCTGACTAGCTGTGGTTACGAGGGGGAAAAGGTCCCTATTTTCAGAGGTTGCTCATTTCTCTGCTCAGGAACAGTGTCTCCTCCGCAGCGGAAGGTTGGATTCAGGAGGATGACTCCAGATGGTCAGTTGCTTACCTTCCTGCCATTTTTTTTCCTCTCTCTCTCTCTCTCTCTTCTCTTGTGTGTTGGCCAACTTTCTCACTCTTTCCTCTCCTGTCCTCGTGCCGTCTCCCTTCATATGACATGGGCATGCGTGCTAGCTGTGCATCCCCACAGGCCAGGTCTTGGGAGCCATGGAGAAGTAGGAGGGGACGAAAACCATGCAAGGCTGTGTCTGTTGGTGTTAACTCGGTCTCTGTTCATCGAGTGGGGCTGATGTAGATGGGATTGGAGAGGGAGGCCAGGATGAGGGCAAGATTTGAAGCAACAAATAGAGCTTTAAGTAGTGATGGCTCATGCTTGGCTTTTGCAGCTTCGCTTCCAGAGGAATTTTCCCAGAGCCCTATCCTGAGGAGAAAGTGGCACTAGTGGACATGAGCAGACGGGACATCCTTGTCAGCAGACATGAACAGTCCTCAGCTTTCTGACTCCCGCATAACTGGCTGTGAGTAAGTGGTCAGTGCTTTGAATTGCTCATCTGTGCTCGCTGTAGTATTCTTCACAGGCCGTGTGCTTCCTCGTTGGGTATGGGTCTCTGTGAGATTACGGCTGGGGAGGGTCCAGAGTCTGCTGTGCAGAGTGACTATATCGGGTGCCGTTGCAAGGGGTCCTTTTTGGTTGTAATGATAAAGGTGTAATGGGAAGATGTTTGAGGGAGGAGCCCCGCCGTGCAGGAGAGGCAAAAGGAAGAGCCTATGAGACATTACCAACAGAGATGGTAACGGATTTGTTTTTTCCCCTTTTGTTGGGTTTAGGACCGAGGGAAAAGAAGTCACGCCTCAGAGTCTCAAGCCTTCATGCGATGGAAAGCGAGCCAGAGCGACGAGACAGTGAGCATTGTTGATGCCAGGCAAGAGTCGTCTATCTGGGATGCAAGCACACGCCACTCTGTGAGATAAGTGTCTGGTTTGGTGATTGCTGTGCTCACGGCCCACCTTGCTCCTGCTAGGGACGCCACGTTATCTGGGACTGGGTTTGTAAGAAATGGTTCCTGACCAGCTGTGCTTTTCGAGAGAGACAAGGTCCCCATTTTCAGGGCCTGCTCATTTCTCTGGCCAGGAGCGGTGTCTCCTATGCAGCGGAAGGTTGCATTTAGGAGGATGACTCCAGGTGGTGAGTTGCTTGCCTTCCTCCCATGTCTGTCTCTCTCTCTCCTCTATTGTGTTGGCCAACTTTCTCACTGTCTCTCCTCTACTCTCCTCTCCTTTCCTTGTGCCGTCTCCCTTCGTAGGACACGGGCAGGCGTGCTAGGTGTGCGTCCCCACAGGCCAGATCTCGAGAGTCGCGGACAAAAATCATGCGGGGCAGTGGGTGCGAGAGTGGAGCGGTGACTGTCGGTGTTAACTCGGTCTCTGTTCATTGAACGGGGCCGATGTAGATGGGACTGGAGAGAGAGGCAGGGATGAGGGCAAGATTTCCAGCACCAACAGAGCTCTGTGTAGTGATGGTTCTTGCTTGGCTTTATTAGTTCGCAGAGGAATCGTCCAGGAGCCCTAGCCACACAAGAATATGGCGGAAGTGGACCTGAGCAGCCTGAACATCCTTCTAAGGAGACATGAATAGGCCTCATGTTTCTGCCTTCTGCATCGCTGGCTGTGAGTAAGAGGTCAGTGCTTTGAATTCCTCCTCTGTAGTCGCTGTAATTTTCTTGACAGGCCGTGTGCTTCCTCGTTAGTTACGAGGCGCTGGGGAAGGGACGAGTCTCCTGAGCAAAGTGAGTATTTTGGGTGCCGTTACAATGGGTGCCTTCTAGTTGCAGTTGTAACGTAGTAATGGGAGATGGGTTGAGGATGGAGCCGTGGGATAAGGGAGATGTGAAATGAAGAAGACTATGCGACATTGCACATGAAGATGCTAATTTTTTTGGTTCCCCCCCTCCCGCTGGGTTTAGTACCAAGGGAAACGAAGTCACGCGTCAGAATCTACTGCCCTCATGCGATGGAAAGCGAGTGAGAGCGTCGAGAGACTCTGAGCATTGTTGATGCCACGCAAAAGCCATCCATCTGGGAGCCGAGGAGACGCTGCTGTCGGTGAGATAAGTGTCTGGTTTCATGAGGGTTCTGCTCACGCCCAACCTGAGTCCAGGTAGAGAAGCCCAGTACAGTAGGGCTGGGTTTGTATGAAAAGGTTCCTGACTAGCTGTGGTCACGAGGGAGAAAAGGTCCCTATTTTGAGAGGTTGCTCATTTTTCTGGTCAGGAACGGTGTCTCCTCTGCAGCAGAAGGTTGCATCCAGGAGGATGACTCCACGTGGTGAGTGCTTGCTTTCCTCCGATGTTTTCCTTTCTCTCTCTCTCTTCTCTAGTACGTTGGCCAACACACAACCTCTAGCTCTCTCTGTCTCTCCTTGCCTGTCCTCGTGTTGTCTCCCTTCGTAAGACACGGGCAGGCGTGCTACGTGTGCATCCCCACAGGCTTTGTCTCGGGAGCCATGGAGAAGTAGGGAGGGGACAAAAATCATGCAGGGGAGTGGGTGCGAGAGTGGAGCGGTGACT